CAAAAAACAACATAATGCAACAAAAAGCAAACAACATGATACAACAAAAAACAACATAATGCAACAAAAAGCAACATAATGCAACAAAAAGCAACGATAAATAACACCTAAAAACTGTCACAACAATATATAGTCATATCTATCATTTCAATTTATTACATCTAGTAAGATACACAATTTATCAAGTCTATCTCTCAGCCTTGCATCTTCATGTGCTTCTTTTTAGTATGCGCCTGCAAGGCTGCAATTAGAATGCAATTATCACACAAATTTAGAAAAAATTATTACCATGAACCATTTTTTTACCAAATCAATTGTTGTGAATTAGATATATCAGAGAGTTTTCTTGGTTCAAAGTTCTCACAGGGGGTTATCCATTTCACACTTCAGAATATAAATAACAAAAAGTGCTCAGATACCTCAACCTCAGTTCAAGTTAAAAGCCACTATGACCAGCCACAACGCTGTTTTTTTTTTGTTCAACAGTTTAAAATGGAGCATTGACCATGTTAATATTCTCAGTGTCTTCATCACTACTGTCTTCTTTCTCATCACCGCTAAACTTTTGGTGCACCTGGGTTCTCAAAGGTACATAGTGATCGAAGAGCTGAAGGTCCCCATGAATATTAACCAAAAACCATTACACATATATGACCGATGCACCAAAATGTATCCACAACTAGAGGATAAAAAAATAAGAAAAAAACATAAAAATGATTATTACCTCAATCAATCTATGAATAACCAATAAAGAGGCATAGGGTCTAGGAAATTAAAAGGACATACTTCACCGTGTTTTTTGTGAAGAGTCTAGAAAGATGCAGCGTCTTGCACAGGAGCATGTCCAAAGGGTCTTACATGAACAATAAAGTCTGAATAAGGAACTGGAGAACAAGAAGAGGCAGCTTGATTCTTGGAGCAGAGAACTGAACAAGGTGAAGTCTTGACTGAGTGAGAAATAGTTCACTTGAAATGGCCTCCGTGGAGGAGAAAAAAGCTGATGAAAATGTGTTAAGTCTTGATGTACTATTTTTCGAACTATAATCAAAATATATGCATTCGTCTTCTAAAATACACTTTACTACACTCAATCTTTGAAAACATATATAGACTTGGGCATTTGTTACTCATCTAGTGCCCAGACAAGAACTTCCTACACCAATTTTCCCACCTCTAGCAACTCTAGTTACATTCACCATATGAAAAAGTGTATGGTAGAAGAGGGATAAATAACAATTTCCCAAAGACCAGTATAGGCTAGAATCCTTAGGTGAACAATTGGTCAAGTGCATATGCAGAAGCTAAGCATAGTTATTAAACAATCTTGGGATATTCCAGAATTCAGAATTCACAATTTACAATTAAGAACTTAAACTGTATTGAATTACAGGTCTAAATCTGAACTCAAACAAGTAACAATATTCACATTAAATAACAAATCACAATTCCTCAAACTAAAGCTGAACTTATAATTTACAACAGCTTGAAAGTTCACAACAATCAAATTCCAGAAATCTAGGGAGAAATCTTTCTGAATTCACATATCACAACAACAAAACTCTCATACTCCAGATATATAGTCATAAAGCTGAACTAGATACAATACGACATAAACAAAGCTAAAACTAAAATACATACCTGAAAATCAGATGACCACGATTTCAGTCAGCATGCGGGGGGAGATGGATTGTGCAGCCGTGCAGGGACTTGGAATCGGGCGAGGGGCACAGTCGTTTAATGGCACAGGGCAGTAGGGCACTACTGTCTACCGGCGAAGTGTAGAACGCCGACCGGCGTGAGTGGCAGCAGGTCTCGACTTGTCTGCTTTGAAGGTTAAAGCGACGAAATCGATCTAAACTAATCTCGATTCCCATCCTGGAGACCACCAAATCGTTCGCCTGGCTGCCAGACGATGCTGGAACGAGGAATCCGAACACAACTCTGTAGGTGATGTTCAATAACGGCATAAGATCTCTTCCCTCAGAAGAGAGTTGGAAGTCGATCATGGTTTGAATGTTTGATTTTACGAGAAACACCGATACAAAATCTCATACTCTCTCCAGATAATACTCTACGGAAGGTTGGGAAAAACAGTTTAAAACTGAAATAAAAAAAACAAAAGTGAAAACCGAAAAGTCTAAAATTGAAAAGAAAGACTAGTTGGGCTACAAATGATATGTTACCCCTAAGAGTGGACCGTGTGGGTAATTTCCACATTAGTAATTACAAGTCCATTCGAGTTGGTCCAACTCCTGAAGACCGTACGTAGCATGAATCAAATTTCGGAAGCATGAAATGCTTTTACGTAGTTGTACGGTTGTACCATTACCATTGAATTCCATAGGCACTGTTTAATTACTGCAGTAATTAATTTATTCAAACAAATAAAGATAGAAAAATTCAATATAGTACAAAAACTTACGTTAGTACTAAAATTATATAGTATCCTCAAGAACCATACTTTGTTTACATCATGAACTAATGAGACTATGAGAGTATTGCAATTGAACTACTTAAAAGTTAATTAAAAATTATATTAAAAAATTAATATAAAAGGATAAGACCATTATTTATAAAACTAATATAAAACTTAATTAATATAAAACTAATATAAAACTTAGTTAAAAAAACTAATATAAAACTTAATTATATTTAGTTGGAATAATGACTAACTAATATAAAAGGATAAGACCATTATTTATAATGAGCCTAACTAATACTACCTCCGTCCCAAAAAACTTTTCCATTTTCAAAACTTTGACCGGCTATATCTTTTTATTGAAAATGATTTATAATATAAAAGTTATATGAAAATGTTCTTTGTTAAAATTACTTTCATAAAAGTATAAAATTTAGGAAAAATTGATACTAATAATCCCAACTATTGGCGGTCCGCTCATAATAATCCCAACTATCGATTATTTCATAATAATCCCAACTTTAGGGACCTTCCGCCAATAATGGTCCGATGTGACCGACTATAAATAAATTTTTGTAGTTTTTAAAGTAAATGAGAAGAGATATAGCAAGTAATCCCTATAAATAATCTCAATTTTTAATTTTTAGGCTTAATTTCTATTTAAAATTGGAGGTAATATCTGGTCATGGACCATTATTGGCGGACGGTCCATATAATATTATACTAATCAAAATTAAGGTTCAAATTTTTGAAAATGACAAATTTTTTTGGGACAGAGGTAGTATAAAAGGATAAGACCTGACTCAACCCAAATATCATTAATTGATCGACCCCAGAGCAGTGGCGGACATAGGGGGGTGACAAAGGGGGGCTGCTGCCCCTAAAAAAAATAGATATATTTACCCCGAAATTTTTAATGTATATGTATTTGTATGTATATTTTTGTACTGCCGCCCCAACAACCGGAAATTCCTGTGTCCGCCGCTGCCCCAGAGGCCTAAACAACGTGTCTCATGGGCATTGGATTGTGCAGATCTCTTTCTGATACCACCCACCATCGCTCAAAGGCAGTTTGATACTTTCTTTCATTCATTCAATTGCTTCTCTTCATCTTTATACGTATGCATAAACTAGACTTGATGAAGAACATGCTCAAAAAAAATCACCAAAAAAATCTACTAGAAAATACCTGAAATGCCCCCGGGCCGGCAGGCCAGCAGGACAGGAATAGGACACTATATATGTGTGTGTGTGTGTATGTATATATATATATATATATGGATTAAAAAAATCAGTTTCCAACGAGATATTTTTCCAAATTCCAACCCATAATCTTCACTAGCATTTTTGGGATCCAACTCATCCAAACGGCCAAACACAGGTCATGTTTAGCATGCACTTTCAGCTCATAATGGGTTGAAATTAGGGTTGTAAACGAATCAAATAATTTGTGCTCAATTCGCGATTCGAATTCGTATAAGACAATTCGAATTCGGAAAATACAAATACAAATACAAATAAGAATATTAAATTTTATTCGAGTTGTTATCAAATACAAATAAGAATATCAGTGTATTCGATCCGAATATTAATCAAATATATTTGATTAATAACAATGGTAATATTAATATCAATATTAATAATAATAGTAATAACACTATAATAACTTTTAAAAGATAGAAATATCCTCAAAGTGTAGCCTATATATGCATTTTTGCATACAGATTCCAAGCCCATTTGTAATAAACCAGAATATAAATACGAATACAAATCATTTTTTTTGTTCAAATGTCTTTCGAATACAATACAAATAATTATGTATTCGATTTGAAGAATAAAATCGGAGTTGTTTGACTTTGATATACAATTATCAACTCATTTCACACATTATAAGTATAATTTCTAATACATTGTGCATCATCTAATACAAATAAACATTGTTAATGTTTATTTCAAAAATTAATTCACTTTATTGTGCATCATCTAAAAATGCATTGATCCATTAAATTTTAATTCTAAAAACACATACTCCATTAAGTCATAACATGCATTTACGACATAAAAAATACGGAATATAAGAAAAGTTATTTTAAAGTGTTATTTGGCTAATTTTTAACTTATGTTCAAATCGATTCGATATTCGTATATGATTCGATAACTATTCGTATGGTTGAACAAATAAAAATACAAATCGAAATTAATATTCGTTTCAGATTTGAATTCGAATTCGTATTCGAAAAAATTAAACAAAAACAAAAATACAAAATCTCATTATTCGACTCGATTCGGTTCGTATACAACCCTAGCTGAAATTCATTAAATCAAGTCAATATAGGTAAAACTGTAAAAGTAGCTCTGTTTGGATAGAAAGCTAAATTAAGCTTGAGCTGGAAAAAGTGGGTTGATTCGCAACGTTAGCTTCCCTAGCGTTTGTATCCAGCCGCTTAAATTATTAACTCACATTCCCCAATTATCCCCATTTGTTACTTATACGTCCTTTCTTCTTCTCTACATGTGATCATCTCTTCAAACTTAGGCAGTATTTCTCTGAGAAATTGATCACAAGAAAATATAAAGAGAGAATTCCAAAAGTAGGAGTAAAACATACTAAAAGTGCAAAAGTAGGACTATAAAGTTGTTTAGGAGTAAAAAAACATGGGTTGACTAAACTACCCTTAATGAATAACTGATTTCTTTATTAATAATGAATACGGAGTATTACAATACCGTAGTAAAACAAAACAATAATACGGAGCACAAGTTTTCCAGAGATGTGCTGGCGTGCTACCCCAAAATAATTGCAGACAGCTCAATGACGCCGCTGGCTGTTGGACGCCACCACAATTGAAATCCAGCCGCAACACCTGGCCGCACATCTGAAATCGTCCGTAGCAGTCCGCCTCATCAGGCGTGGTCGCCGCCGGCGCTTTATTCGGCGGTGCCGCCTTCTCACTTTGTGCCACCTTCTCCTCCAGCGAGATTCCGGCGAGACTGATGTAGATTTTTGTCAAAATTTCATGCTTGCAAAAATACAGAGTTGAGTCACAGTGCATCTTAACATTAATTGCCAAAAATTTCATTTTTGAGAATGAAAACATGGCATTATAACTGATATAAGAGCACTAATTGTCAAAATGGCACCACTCTGGTAATGGCACGAATTGCCATAATATAATTTTTTAAGAATAAAAACATGGCAATACAGCTAATTTATGGTTTAGAGACTAATATTTCCATCTTGAGATTCGAATAGAATTTTTTTGATTCAGAAGGATAAAAAAATATGAATCAATATTTTTAAAGAGCTAAATCCGAAAAAATAAATAAAATAAGATCCAAAATTATCAGATCTAAAATAATAATTTTAGGTTTGAATCTCAAAATTAAACAAATGAAACCATAGAAAAAAAAATCAAGAGAATAAAATAGAGGAGCGAGAGTGAGGGAGAAGACGATGGAGGAGGAGGAGCATAGGAGGAGAATATCTTACCGGAGATCAAAGACCGTCGCAGCGCCGGAGACTGGAGGACCGGCGAGAACTAGTAGCGTTGTAGATGTGAAGTTGGCAGCCGGAGATAGTGTAATTTTTCCGCCATTGAAATCCATGGGAGAGAGCTATGTTGTAGATCTGAAGATGGGAGAGAAGGGAGATGCAGACATGAAAGAGGAGAAGTGGCAGTGCAGGAGGCGTGCGTGACTGAGTCAGAAAATAAGGAAAAGTGAATTATTAATGTATGAAGGGTAAAACTGGAATACAAGGTCCTAGTTTGAGAATTTAAAAGGTCCGCTCCTACTTTTGCATTCTCATCATGTTTTACTCCTAACAAAGGTAATTTCTTAAATACTCCCTCCGTCCCAAAAACAACTTCCCATTCACTATTCATTGGTCAACTTGAATTACTCGTAATCTTTTACTTATTATATCAAATTTTTATCAAATTTAAATTTTATTGATCAGGCTTTGTAGCGGTTTTAATGTAGTTTCTGAATATGTAAATTTTATTTACTAAAAATAATCCGAATGTGAGCAGGGATCGAGTTGCTTTATCGTCAGTCAAGCATCGTAAACCGAACGGGAAGTTAATTTTGGGACGGAGGGAGTATAAATTATACTCGTAATAATTATACTACGTATACTTTAGTAAATAAATAAAAAATATACCCGTACTTGAAATTTTGTAGAGAAATTTTGTAGTTGTCCTAGCCTCCTAGGTAGTATTTGTGATTCATCTGAGCAATGAACAGAGAATGTTCTCCATTTTTCATTCGCACAGTGATGACAAAACGAGGTGCTCCTCCCTTGTTTTTATAGATTTTGTAGCACTTTGCAATATTTTTATACATTTTTACGTATACTATGGAGTATATTTTTTATATTTATTAAAGTATACTTCCTTCGTTCTTTAATTCTTGCAACATTGTGATTTTTATACTATTCACAAACCTTTCTTTGACCATGTTTTTCTACTAATATACATAATCAAATTATTACGTATAAAATGTTATTGAATTCCTATCAATGTGAATTTCCAAAATATCAACTTTTTATAATGTTTACTAATACATAATTAAATATAATTACTGTTGCAAGAATTATAAAACGGATGATAGTATGTAGTATAATTATTAGGGATTTAGGGGTATAATTTATATTTTCTTGAATTAATTAAATTGTATGCCCTTTAATGTAATTTCCTACTATTTGAGCATTTTTCAGCTCTTTTTGTCAAACGAATCTATTTTGTTCAGGTATTAATTCAGACTCAGCACTTCAAAATTCAGCTCCAGATAATAGTCTTTGATTCAGACAACAGCCTTCAGCTTCAGCTCGTTGTGCCAAACATAGTCATAATCATATACAAAGTATGAAGTACTTTATAATGACTACTATACAATTAAAAAAATACTTCCCTCCCTGGCCCCTTGGCCTTGTTACATAAATACACTATTATTATGACTACCGTTTTGGAATTCGGAGTATGAAGTACTTTACAATGACTATTAGTCTATTACACGATTATTAGATTACTACTATACGATTAAAATATATGCCACACAATAAAATATGCCACGATTAAAATATATATGCCACACGATTAAAATATATATACAATTATGAGTATGTTTGGCATAGTGGTGGACCCGGTTCGGGCCACCCGGCCCGTGAACCGGCCCACTACTGTGCGGGACCGGGACCGGCCCGATCTGGCGGTCCGGGACCGGGTGGTGACCCGAACTAGTGGGATAGCGGGGGGCGGGCACGGGTAGGGCAAATGGGGACCCGGCCCAATTCTTTTTTTTTTCATTATTTTTGGGTTTCCATCGGATTGGGCTGTGTGTTTTGGGAGGGTTTGGGGGTGGGGGGGTCAAGGGTAGTTAGGAAAGCAAAAAAAACATTTGACCCGGACCGGTGGATAGTCGGGCCGGTCCCGGGTCTACCCATTAAAACTCAAAGGCCCGCCGGGCCTAAGCCTGGCCCGGGTCCATACCTAGTTTGACACAACTAGTTGAAAAGATACTTTTACATACTTAATAACTGTTATTTTTTTTTTGAAAGAATAACTGTTATTTTTTTGGGACTGAAAAGAGCTTAAAAGTAAAAGCTAGTAGTTATTTGGTAAAAAACTGACTGTTTGGTTTAGCTCTGTTTGGTACAGAAGCTGTTGAGACTAATTCCTGCTAAAAGTCACAGACTTTTTCATATTCTACTCCATGTAGCATCTCACAAAAGAGTTTTTTATTTTTTGAAAAACTTTTGAAATTGTCATAACAAACATACATTAGGCATGGACTTTTGCCTGCCAAAAGTATCCTATATTACTACTACACCATTCCACCAAATCCACCTCCCTCCTTGACTCTTGGCCTTTCGGTGCTAATTGTATGAATTCACTATCTAGCTATTGGAATCTCAATATTCATATTCACAAATATATAATGGTCATAAGCAAATTCTATCCAGCAGCCATATCATCAGAATCCAAAACCTCCCTGCTTGTAAGGACGCCTTCATCCCATATCTCAAGACACCTATAGTACACACATATCACTTAACACCACGAGAGGTTTTTTATTTTATTTTTTAAATCCACACAGCATAAAAGAAAATACACGTGTATAACAAACAATGGAGGAAGATGTATATATGAACAACTACGAGACAGCACTTTTGGTCCAAGTATGGGATTGGCATTACGGTTTCAAAAAGCACTCCTTAAAAGTTCTTTTTAGAATTGCAGTGGAAAGTACTTATTAGAGCTATAAGCTTTTGATATTGAAGTTGAAAAGGCTACTCTGGAAGTTAAAATAAAAATATGTAATTATCATGCAAAAGTTATCTTGGGTTGAATGTTGCCTTGCAAACTTGCGGTGGTGTTTGGCATTTCAAAACAAAGTTTAGGTAAAACTATATAGGGTAGTTTTTTAGGATTGCTTTCGGGCACAGAATGGGGATTTTTTTCATCACAAAAGCAAATCCCAAATAGGACCTTAATTGCATAAAAAGGGGTGTCCGTACTAAATAGGTTAGGGAATTTTTTATGAAGCAACCCTCAGGTTTGTGATATTTCTCCCACTGATCTTCACATTAATTAATACTAACCCGAGGCAGCTTCGCATATCCCTTACTGTAAGAAGCATATGAAAAAGTCATTTTGAGAAGTTCCACAAACTTGAGTTATCTCAGCATGAGTATGTCTGTATGTGCATCAAATTATCTGTTCTCTCTTACCCTAGTCCAATTCCTCTGCCCACACCAAGTGTCAATGTCTGCTCCTCTTAGGATTTGACTATTGGACGTGCCACAAGTTCCTTTCGGAGTTACACTAACTTGAGTTTATTAGTGCTGGACTGGTGGTTTTGGCTGTTTGGAAATGGATCCAAGGATGATCAAAGATCTACGGCCTTAGCTGTCAATGGCGAGATATGGGCAGTACTAGACCCGTCCCCGGATTCCGGTTCGACCGGAACCAAAACCGGCGGTTTTCGAACTAGAATCGGAACCGGGGTAGCTTACGGTTCAAAACCGACGGTTCTAGATAGCGGTTCGGTTCTTCGAGTTTCGAGGAACCGGAACCGGCTTTCCGGTTCGGAACCGCTTTTTTAAAAATTTTAAATAAAAATAAAATAAAAATTATTTAATTAAATAATAGTAATGATAATAACGATACTAATATCAATATGTGGTAGTAGTAGTAGACTAGTAGTGATAGTTGTTTTACTTGATATGAAAATAATACTCCGTAAATAATTATTTATAGATATAACCTTTTGCACATTACTAGTTATAAAACCCCTTTTATTACAAATTATAGTAATAAGTATACAAAATTTACTAATTACTAAAGTATTTTAATTATTGACTTGTACATTCATATAACCTAATTTATATCAATTTAGTTGTTGATTATCTAATTATTATACTTCATTTTAACAATTGTAACTACTAATTATACCAACAATTTTTGGGAATTATTTTATTTAAATAATCTTATTACATCATACTTACTCTATTTTAAAGAATAACTAAACTTTTAAATATAAAAAATAAAAGTGTATGATTATTATATCTTTAATATTTTAATTAAATACAAAATAAATACTATCAATGAATAAAAATAATAAAATAATATAAAAGAATAAAAACAAAAACCGGAGAATCGGACCGGAACCGGAACCGTCGGTTCGGAACCGGACTAGAACCGCTACTATGCTGTTCCGGTTCCAGTTTCATAGTTTTTGGAACCGCGAACCGGCAGTTTGGTTCCGGTTCCGGTTCCAAACCGGGGACAAGTCTAGATATGCCATTCGTATATGCGCCATCGGATGAAAAATGCCTTTTCTCCATGGAGATCGCCATGCGCCATGACAAGCTTGTCTACGGCCGGTTACTGTTTCTTACTTTCTTTATTGGTGAATTTTTTTGTTTCATAGTAGAGTAAGAAATAAAATGTGGAATCTTGAGTGAGTGCGATGACATAATCCCCATGTGAGAGGTTACATCAACTACTAAATGAAACTAAATTCAAAGCACTAATGTATACATTATATGTGAAGGCAGAAGAACAGCTAGGGTGTTTATTTACCAAAACTCTAAACTGGGTTCGGGTTGAGTATTATCTTGGTAACAAGTTGGTAACTAACCCCACATACGCTCCAGTGGGAGTTAGTTATTGTAATTCTAACCCTAATCCAAATGCGCTTAGACCATTACTTATCACCGAGTCAACCCACGATTATACTTTAATTCAGAGATGTGATCTAGCAATGTGATATTGAATTTCTTAAATGAAAATTCCATTCACATCAGAATATGACATTTTAGCTACACTAACGCAACTTCATTAAAAGTTGTTTGATTGTTTCATTGAGAAAAGTGTATGGTTGAGAGCTGGTATTCCTTATATATCTATTAAAGATTTGCTATATGTATTTAGCTGCATGGAGTATTCGGGGAAGTAGAACATTAATGGTAAATTAACACATAACATACCTTGTTCCATCAATGATTAAATTAAGAAACTGACCATGCCGCCATCCATCTTTGAAGTGGCCAAATGATACATCACCATTCTTGCAATAAAAACGCCCTTCTCCATTTGCTTTTCCCTTCCAGAAGTCAACAAACCAGCGATCCCCGGTGTGAAAGTAAACCCATCCCTACATGCAATTAAGTGATAAAAAATCTATACTAAACCTTTATGAAAGTAAACTGTGAATTCCCCACATGTGAATGAATCTGTTCTTTTAGTGGAGGTGGGGTAGGGCTATGGGGGCAGGCTATATCACTTGCACTGATGCGATGGTCTTGATGACATAACTAAGGGAAAGACACATAGATGAAATGATAAGCATTGTTGAAAGAAAATCTAAGGTTAGCAGCAGTCGTTCTGACAGAGGACACGGACTGATTATGGTAGTCAGGTAAAATTCGCATGTAATTAGCAGAAAAAAAGCATTGCTACCTTCCCGTGCATCAAATCATCCCTCCATGAACCGCGGTAGATGTTACCATTACTAAAGTACATTGTGCCAAGCCCTGACCTCCTTCCATAGCGCCACATGCCATCATATACGCTTCCATCTCTAAGAGACAGACGTCCCTACACAAGTAGTAGCCTTTTCATATAAATACACTCCATCAAAAAACAACCTCAGCAATACATTTTCAGCAAGACTCAAGTACCTTTCCTTCAGGAAGTCCTCCTTGGATGCGTCCTCTGTATATGCCTCCCCTGTACTTCAGTTCAACTACAGGAATCCACTTCTTCTGTGTATCTCGTTCAGATTCCTGAAAAGAGAAGGTATGATTGCTCTTTTACTTCACTTGAGGAAAAGTACGCTTCCAAAAGAGCACTACTTTGAAAGAACCAAATTCCAAAAATAAGACAAGAGTCCAAATAAATGTGAACCATGGTCAAATCAAACACATTATATAATAAACGGTATAACATATTGCTCTTCTGCACTTTTGTGCCTTTCTTGTGTGAATTATATCATCCCTGAGAAAACATGATGGGAGTAAAAATTAGTCTGTACTGAATCAGCTTACTGTACTACAGTGTAACAATTCAAAGAAAGCATGTTTCTCTTTGAAAGTGTTTGCTAAATGAAGGAAAGAAACTCATGTTTTTATAATTATACTCGGGTTTTATCCCTTGGAATAAAACATACGATAGTATATACCAACCAGCATTGAGGCTGCACGAACTGAGAGAACTCCCTTGTTCTTCGAAAAATTGTTCTGATCTCCTTGTGTTACTATTGTAGCATGGTTGTCCACTACCAACATAGACTCACTGTCAGGGTTCATTCTATACCAAGGGATGCGGCCCTTATCATCCGGAGTTTTTGCCCTTTTAATTTCATCAGTCATCCATTCTGTCCAGTTTAAGGAGTTTGAGGCAGTTGAACCATTTTTTGATTGCTCTAATTGTTTTACACCCACAGGGAGTCTGAATGTTCTGCTAACATCAGATTCATAGGTTTCCAGGTCATCAGTGCCTTCTTTCACCCCGCCTTGTCGGATTTCAAATCCAGGATGTAGGTTTTGCCTTGTAAGTAGCTCTCTTCTGAAAGTTGGAACACCTCCTGCAAAAGTAGAATCGCAATCACTTCTGTTCTGCAAATAAATCATTCAGTTCAGTGTTCTGAAGCTCTACCGACTCCAAGTTCTCATAATTATAATGTTTTCACACTACCTGGGGAGTTGAGCAGTATACTTTCAACAATTTTCATGTTAAATGCTCTCTGACGATTGCGTACTAAGTTCAACATAGCAAGGTCATCTGTTTCCTAATGGACTTTCCTTCTGTAACCTACCTTTGCCTATATTGCATTCTAAATGCATATACAACATCTTTTGAATAAATCATGCTACAATACAATCATTTACACAACACCAAGCAACAAGCCCCATCACCTCTCTACCCTATTCTTATTGGTACTTCATTGTTTCATACTTTCATTACACCTACTTTGTGCCTTAATAGATCCACAAGCAAATAATCTTTCATATGATTATCATTGAAAGAGAAACAGTGGTGTAATGTCCCAGCTAATCTTGATGTCTTGCGCTGCATTCATAGCCATGTCTCAGCATGCACAGAGATGTTTTTTCAGGTATTGCACATGAACAGATGAGTGGGGGATGCAGTATGAATGTTTTGGTCTTACAATAAAATATTTGGTCTCAAATATAAGACAATTTAATATTTGTTTTGTGATTAATGGGAATGTTGTGGTTTCCCACACAAAATCATACCTATTTGAAGTTAAAAAAACTAAACGCTGGAAACTGAAAGCTAGTGTGTATGCAGAGATGACCTCTCAGCATTTGGCATTTTTGCCAACTATAAAATAGACCAAAATGGCTCTTTGACTTGATTTTGTACCAGCTTCCATCCCATGTTACGGCAAGTGTCAATGAGGTTACAGCTCAGGGAAAATTTGTGAAATTAAATCATCTATATAGGAATAGTAAAGTAACAACTCAGTGAGATTTTAAGGCACAGTGGTTTAACTTTACATATTCATCACCAAATTAAATACCTATTTGATGATTCCCATAGTAAATTGAAACTGGTGTAAAGTCAACAGTCAGAGCATCATCCTTGATTGATTCTTTATTAGATGAGACACAACAGGAAAAACAAAAAGCTACTCCACCGCAGAAAAAGACTGCCCTTTGACTTGGCAGACTTGTTAAGAAAAGTGAATTGTACAGTTAAAATTATCCAGAAAAAAAAAATGACTGAACCACACAACTTTCTCATTAAAACACTTCTATAGAAAATTAAGTCTACACATGCATAGAGTTTTAACAATGAAAGGCATGTAGATGGAAACAAATGATAAGTCTGCAGCTTTTGTAATGCTAGAGAATATTTGAACATAAGATAATACAGAGTATTTAATGATCTAGTATGTTTACCAACAAGAGCTGAAAAATTAATTACAAGAATATATTTAAATAAGGTATAGGCTCTCATATAAGCTTTGTCAAATAAAGTCATATTATTGTTAGCTAAAATACATAATATCATAAGCTGTAATATGTGGTTTGAGCTTAACACACACACACACAGATTTTTTAATAATTTTTAAGTTTCTCTTCGTTTATGAGCAAATTCTCAATGGTAGCATCATAATTGCATGAGCAATCATTTAGACAACTAGTGACTTCCCAGATTTTAGCCAATAATAGACCACGTCCGTTAATATTGACGAGGAGTGTTTTCAGGTAAGCCGACAACATTATTGTCAATTATTAATATCATTCAAACCCACCAATTAATAAAGAAGTATACCTTCAGTATTGATTACATCATCAATGACAGAAAAGTCAGTTGCAGAGAATGCAATTTTGCTTTGCACAGGACCGCTTTCACAACCCCTATAGAGTACAAAGCAACAAGGTTATTCCCCGAAAAAATGAAATGGTCTATGCATAAAAGAGCCACAAGGCCTGAAGTGATTTCAAGTGGGTTGAAAGAGTATTACATTGAGAGAAATTTTTCTTCACCCGTGATGTGAGATAGCTCTTGTAGTTCCTTACCAGAAAATGGTACATCCTCAGCCTTACATTGAACGGGCCTCATACCATCCATGGAATCCATATAAGGCATTTCAGCAGAATGAGGATCAGGCTTCTTGAAGAAATTAGAAATGAAGGGGAAATGTTGGGCCAATCTAAAAAGTAAGCTATTCCTGTATGATGGTTGTTGCACAATGCACCTGATCATGCATACATTAATATCAGAATTAGTCCATATGAAAATAACAAGTTTTCCAGGCCACTCAGATTAATCATTAACTTAGGAGAGGAATTAGCAGACACAAAAGTAGTACAGCTATTGCTATTCTGAAATCTAGGAATGGAACATCTTCTTAAATAAGTTAAATCTTACTATCTTACCAAGACATATTACAGTAGTCAGTATCAAATTAGCAGCCACGTTGGTGTAACATCTAATATGTTGTAACATTCCATAAGTTTGTCTTTGATTATTCAGTACTAACTACACCACTTTCATCAACAAAATAACAAGTTTTCATGACCACTCAGGCCAATCATTAGCTAAGGAAAGGCATTAGCAACCTAAAGAGTAGTACATGTAATTTTTATTCTATGAATAGAACATCTTCGGGATAAAATAGTTCTTACCCACACACAATTAGAGTAGTCAGTATCAAATTTGCATCCATGTTGGCTTCATGAATAACTGATATTACAAGTTCCCTCCTCCATCCAGTTGTTTGCCGAAAAGTTTGGCAGATGATGTTCACATCATGAGAATCAAGTGCACTGGAACTTGCAATAACACATAAAATCACACCATCTGATTCCTAAGAAATAATATATGTCAGAGAACAAGGAGATCAAGAGTGGAACCCTAAGAGATTGTGAATGACATAATTGATAGAAATTATTTGCTGACACGTATTGTTATGTAATTCTGAAAATTAAAAAAAGTGTTTAATGCTTTTGTTTTATTCTATCATGTCTAGTTTTTATGCTTCGAGTGCAATGTCACCGAAAAGAACAAAAAAAAATCTCTGCATTAAAATATCAAACACCTGTAAAGACACTCCAAGGAAGGGGCACTCGTATGCAGCTCGCAAAATAGAGGTTTTGATGTCGTAGCCAACACCATATCCAATTTTTGCTTCTCTATAGCCCTCAAGAATCTGTAACAGACAATCAGATGTACATTAGGTAATAAAAGCTTCTGTTATACATATATACACAAATACACTGCATTTACACACAAAAATATATGGCAGGGCGAATTAAGAAACATAAGATGGTGAAATTGTAAATTATTTACATTTGATAGCTGTGGCACTTTGAGTAGTTCAGAGCAATTATTTGGTAAATTTTGATACCGTGTGAAACTATCCTGTAGAAATCAGAGGTTAAGCAGTAGATAGATAAACGAATAACTTCATGGGATATAATATCGTAAAGTTTAAAGAGGCACCTAAGGTTTAGGGAAAGGTTTAGATTATCTTACAGATACAAGAGCAGATATAGCATTTACAGCCATCAAAACTGCCTTGTTTGATGTTTTCAAAGCCTCATCCAGAGTAAGAAGTTCTTTTGCTAGAAGTGCATCAGTATCAATAACTGCAAGGCAAGACGACCACACATTCAGAACTCAAGCCATCTCAAATTCTGCACCAGTGAAATATTGAAAATATGATCATGAACGATCTTGTTGATCACACCACACATGCAGAAATATGTGAGTGAGTTATAGAATTGATGAGCACAATTCAGAAAATTGGCCAGCAAAATAACCATGCATCAAGGTTCAAGATTGACTAGTTTAAATATCCAACTGGTGGTATATGTGGTGACATGTTACCTTACCTATACAAAAATTAGCTTGCTTTTGTAGCTCATCAACCAATTCATTCATCTGCAGACATATTCAGCTATCAAAATAATGCAGTAATATCTAATGATGTAGATTCATGGTCACAATAGGAGATAACCAAATACATTTAATAGTAGGAGATAAACAAAAAGCAAATAAAAGGATTGGATTGACCAACTTAGCAATCAATTAGTTCACTGACAATACCAGTCATCAAGATAATTTAGTGAAATATTTCGAAGGTTAGAACAGGAGATAGCCAGATGCAATTGGTGATATCCGTCCCTTCTGATAAAAGTTGATGTAAACAAAATATTTAGGTGAAATTCATAAGAATAATCCTTACTTTCAAGGGTTCTACAATAATAAACCCTATTGAGAGTGTTCATAAAAATAATCCAAACTAGCAATGATGTTTAAAAGAATAAACTGTGGTGAATGCTCATTTAATACTCTCAACCCCTACTCCCACTTTCCCTTCCCTGTTCTCCTTCTCAGGATGAATTCAAACCAATGCCTGTTTAATTTGAGTGTCATTTCCATCATATGAGGTTCTTTCTATAGGTTGGAAGATAGAAGTGTTACCCGAAACAAAGAGTGGTGAAGGAGAAAGTGGGGGTAAGGGTTGGGAGTATTAAACGGGCATTAGTTTGAATTCACCTCAATTTATTCTTGTGAATAGCTTTGCTCGTTCGGATTATTTTTATGAACACTCTCAGTAAGGATTATTATTATAGAATGCCTGAAAGTAAGGATTATTCTTATGACCGGAGCCTTAGTGTATTTTTATTGGACATAAATCACAATGAGCAAACAACAAAGAAAATGGAGCAATATCAACATTTAGTTTCTTTAAAGTTTTCATTCACATTTCTAGTAAATGCTCGGATCTACCTCATCCTGCCGCCTTCGTCCTTCAAAGCAGAAAGGTTTCAGGATGATTCCAATGACTAGTCCATCAGCATATCTTACTCTCCTAAGAATATCAAGTGATAAGACGTTATCTCCACCATAAGCTGCATTAGCCACCTAAAGATGAAAGAAAAAGAATTTTTGAAGCGTTACAAAATTGCAGATGAGATATATTTACCACATGTTTAAGCAGCACAGATAAAATTTCCAATTTCTTGATAACAAGTGAGTACAAATTCTCAAGATCAACAGAGTAGATGAGACCAAAAGATGGGGGGGGATGAAAAACTAGCAAAAGATGAGAAAAAAATCATTGAGGTGTTAAAATTCTTAAAATAAAACTCTGCTGGTGTAAAGCTTCCAAACAGTATTGGGTTAGAAGCAATAATGCATGGTTGGAATCACACTTCTGGTTTCTAATACATATATATTTACAAGAGAATTAATGGACCTACTCATGAGATGTCAAGGAACAAAGACAAATGAAACAATTTACGGAAGAGATAGAAAACTACTTCTCCAGTCTATCGTACCAAAATAGTTGTTGATTTACATGAGTGCACACATATTAAAAATCATATAAAAGGATTGTTCTATCTCCACTTAAGTTTAACATTACATGCAAAAAATTCAAGGCTTAATAGGACTTGATGTGGACTGGGCTTTTTGGAAGTTTGGCAGAAATATGTATTGAAATTGGTAATTACTTTGAGGCTACATTTTTAGCTAAAACAACAAATAATTTGGGATGAATAGTATATGAGAATCTGATTTGCATTACTAAACCACACCACCAGAGCATTAGCTACGAGTAATATTAACTTGTCACATACTAGTCTGAAAAACTAAAACTTTAAGCAAGAAAAAGCTCTAAATTTACAAGTGCTGGAGCTTTTGATTGTACAACAACAAAATCCAAGCCTTTGTCCCCAAAGAATTTGGGGTCGGCTAACATGAATCCATATATGAAACCGGAGTCAAACAAGTATGAAACTGGTATATGAAATTGGCCAACATGAATCAATATAAGAAAGAGTTTATGATAGTACAAACAAGTATAATTGCTTTAGAGCACAAACTCAATGAAGATGGCACTTCCACAACTTCTGCTATAATATCTGCAAAAAAAGAGACAATGGTTTATGGTACATAGCTTGGTGGCCTTTCTTGGAAGCATATATTATCATCTAAGCTTAATGATCTATCTTGAAAGTGCATGCATTATTATCATAGCTTAATAATTTATCTCGAAAGTGTATACATTAACCCTTCTGAAAGAAATAACAAGGATTAGATGCTGCAGTAGATATACTCCTAATGAGAAACGCACATAAAAGATCAACTGATAAAATCCAAATTAGTAGAAGGCTCCAGTTGTATATCTTTTATTAGGCCTTTTAGAGAAGATGACTCATATTCTTTGAGTGCCCCAATTGTAGATTTCAAAATCAAAATCTTTGTACGCTTAGCTTACCGCACTGTATTGAGTATACCTCCGTGGTCCTTGATTTCTGAGCAAGCCTAGCAACTAAGTGTTGAAAACTAGATACTTAAAGACCTATATGAATATATAATCTGAATCAACTTAAAACTGTGCATTTTAGAAAGATACAGTAGTTTCCTCTAGAATTTGCAAGTTATGTGGATGTGTAAATAATGCCGATTAGTCAACACTTGAAGCCATCAACATAATCTTCAATTGCCTACTACCAGTTACACAGTTCTACCAAATGATTTTGAATCAACTTATATAAACTCAAGAATGAGCACCCTTATTTTGATTATTTAGAGTAGTAGAACAGAAAGAACACCTCTGATTTGACATGTCCACGCTTTAAATTTTAATTGTCAGACCCAGCTCACACAAACACAATCGTATTACTCTCTCCATTCAAGGAAGCATCACGTTTGAGTAAGGTACAACTTTTGTTTATAGTCAACCCAATCAAGGTGCAAGCTTTTATAACTTATTTCCTGATTCATTGGAGTAATTGACTAAACCCACTTGCCACTTAGTTTTACATGAATTTTATTTGAATGTGAAAGTTGACTAGTAAAATAGGATTCTTTTTTTGGGACAAAAAGTTCTTGAACCAGAAGTCCTTTTTCTTTTCTGTTTTTCTTGAGGGGTTTACACATTTCCTTCTAAAGTACAGTATATAGGTTGGTTATAAGTAATTGATGACAGCCAAATCCAAACAGACATCTCCTCCTCAAATTGTCTTACAGCCTTTCATTGGCATGCTACCCTCACTCTATCATACCCCACTCACAGAGTAACAAATGCTTATCAGCAAAAAAGAAGAAAGGGGAAAAAAGAGTCATTGAGAGCATTAAGGATCCGACTTTTGAGCTTCTACCTTCAGTCAGACACCTCTGGTGCAATAACACTTTCCCAGAATCTTCAACAAGAATGTTCCTGCAAAACGTCAGAACAAGAATTAAAGATGAAAAGTAAGAGATAATTAGAAATAATGCATACTCCCTCTGTTGATTTTTACTTGCTCAACTTTTCTTTTATTGAAATATTATATTGTTTGCTCCACTTTCAATTTGTGGCAATTACAAATCTGTCAAAACACATATATGTTCTTACATTAATCTTTTATTTCCCATTTATTCTACTTTTTCATCTTCTCTATTCTACGTTTTCATCTCATCTCCTACTTTTTCAAATTGTTATGCTATTCGCTTCACCTACAAATTCATTCTTAAACGTTGTGAAAGGAAGAGTCAGAGCAAGTAAAAATAAAGGGGGTGCATATCATTTAAAACTTTCCCCTAGAAATGCAGAAACCTTAAAAGATCAGAATATCCCAACTTACTAATTCAATTTGCACAGTGAAACCTCAAACTTTCATATTCCAAATATTGTTGACAAACATTTTAAACATTCAGGGCCTTCTAGCAATTGAAGTTATGTATACTTCGTTTGCGTGCATGTTCTGTGTTCAACTCAGACTGTGGTGCATGTTCGTATAATCGTAGTTATTGTTTCATTATCATTAAGGTGTTGATTTCCCCCTAAGTAAGTTCACATTAAGGAAACATTTCAAGGGAAATCCAAGGAAAGTGTGGATTGTAGGCCTGTAGCATACCAAAATCTCAAAGCCGGTGAACATGAAGAAGATGACAGGCAGAAGTCAATAATGGTGTTTTTTCGACTCCCTATTCCAATCACCTCAACGAAATCCGTCTCTTCCCAAATACTCCGATGAAGCATATTCCCCATTTCTTCTCCATTCAACGAAGCGTCCTGGCAATCATTGTTAACGGAAGCCGCAACGCTCAAGCCGTGATCAGCGCTCTTACGGCAAACATCTGAACTCGGGTCAACTCGAACATACGTATGATTGTGCCTAAGCCTCGCCCAACAGTTATGGTAGTTGAGCGAACGGGGATTGATCAGGGGAGTTCTACAGGATAGGGGCGCAGCTATGTGGATACTTGCGGTTATGGGAAGTGGCATCTCCATTTCTTCGGACGAATCTGTCAATACTCAAATTGAAGGGTTAAGCTTGCATTAGACGATCCTGGTATCAAACAGGGTTTAAGATAAAGGGGGACGACACAAGACATTATCCTCTTATTGTTCTTTTTAAACACGTATCGGGTAGAACGGGAAAGTCCTGCACATCTCAAAAAAGCTGCAGCGGAAAAAATGTAACACAAAAAATTGTTTCGGTGGAAATTATTAAAGGGTATTCTGCCTATCATACAGAGGAATGATCATGTACATATGGATGTACGGGGGGCTCCGTACGGACAAAGCCATTAGAGGCCTTTCCGGGTGGAATTTTTTGATGAAATTTTTTGAGCATGTTCTCCATCAAGTCTAGTTTATCCATACCAAATTTCAGCTCAAAATTCGATCGGGAAGGCAGTCAAATAAATTCTTGAAATATATGGCGCATTCTGCGCACATATAATATGCAGTATACTTCAAGAATTTATTTGACTGCCTTCCCGATCGAATTTTGAGCTGAAATTTGGTATGGATAAACTAGACTTGATGAAGAACATGCTCAAAAAATTTCATCAAAAAATTCGACCGGGAAGGGCCTCGGATGGCTTTGTCCGTACGGAGCTTCCTGTACATCCATATGTACAGGAACAGCCCTCTTCTGCCTATTATTGACAACCTTTTGTAGGTTTCAGTTGGTGCTTAATCCATCCATTTATCCCTTGCGTATGTCTCAAGTTGATAGTGTTGACCATCTCTTCCTAGTTTTTCCCAAATTAAGGTTGTTTTAAAATTTACTAGTCTTTCACCCGTGCGTTGCACGGGATATGAATCTAATTGCATAGTCATTAAAAACTATTGGAATGTGCTATTTTAACTCTTAATCTTGATTTTTCTCGAGAAATCATACTCCATCGACAAATTAACATAACATTATAGAAAGTAACATAGTATCAAGTTAGGCAAGCTTCTCCAATTGAGTACACATACGGAGTATATTATAGTGCTTCTGGATCACAGGTAAGCCTTAGATGGCAATATTTCAGTGTTTTGCCTCCATTCCATAGTTTTTTCAATTCCTCTCCTTATTTTATGAGCATAGTTATATCCTCGTCTGCGATTGTAGTGTGTAGAAATATAACCCACATCACGGTCTCAAACATTCTCATTCTAGCTTTTATACTGTTGCTAAGAATCAACCAAGACTTGAAGGATTTTTTACAATATCTACAACTACTAAGAATAAAATAAAAATTGGATGTTTTTTAAAGAAGTGCTGAAGTTTTTATTTATAGTAATTGTCCTATATATGACTAAAACTAAACTTAATTCCCTAAATAGGACTACAAACTTTTAATTCCCTAAATAGGACTCCGGATTACCATTATGTCCTCCTATATAGTAACATTACAACCCTAATTCTAATTCTATCTCACGTATGCGGCTCTTCTCCTACGTACGCAGAAGCGGCTCTTCTCCTTCGCAGAAGCTTGCGCGCACAGATCCTCCTGCGCAACACCTCTACGTCGAGCCATGGAATTCGCCCCTTTCTCCGGCGATGCTACACCTCTTTGGCACCGCCGCCGCTTCCACCATCGCCGATTCCAGGTTTCTCCTACTCCTTTTCCGTCTTTCCTCTTTATCTCCTCCTCCTCCTCTAATCTTCATGTTGAATAACATATTTTCCCTCACCGATTTTACTGTTTTTGGTAGACTTTTTCTGGTTTCATGAACATTTTTGGATTTGGATATCAATTTTTCTGTTTTGTTAACATTGGCTCTAGGTTTCTGATTTCTGATGTCGTTAAATTTCCCTTTTCGATGAGAATTTTGATTTTTTAGATTTTGATTATCGACTTTACAGTTTTGCCAACTTTTTGGCAGTTTCCTGTAGTACTCAATATTATATTATGGCAGAAAAACTTTTATTTTAAATATTAATTTGTATTGCCAATCTTTTGGCATAATTGACTAATATATTATGGCAGATTTCGTTGTTCAGATTTCTAATTTCAATGAATTTCTGATTTCATTAAAAACTCTGGTTTTCTCGATTGTGGATGTTGGGTTCATTTTTGCCAAACTTCTGGCAGTTTCATATAATATGATTTGGCAGAAAAATATTGTTTTCTTCCACGAACTGCCAAATATAATGATAAGAACTATCATGTTTATATTTTTATAAAAAATGGCAGAACTATGTTTTATGTTGTCAATAATTTTTTTTGCAGCAAAGAGGCATTTTTATAACCTGCGGTGGTGGCGCCACCAGTAGCGCCGGAAGTGACGACAACGGCGGCGGATACGGCGACAGAAGTGGCGGTGCCAGAAGCGATGGCGGCATTTAGAGTGCTAGAGGCGGCTGTGGAACCTAGGGTTTTAGATAGCTTTTTAATTTTTCTATTTTTAATTGTAAATAGATTTCGAAATTCATTAAGGGTAATTTTGTAAAGTCAATACATTTTTTAGTCCTATGAAACATGGAAGTCCTATTTGTGCATTTCTTATTTGTTTTAGTCCTATTTAGGTAATTAACTCTTTTGTTTACTATTACTTCTCACTTGCATCACATAAACCTACACCAGTAATTGACCAAGGATATAGTTCAATAGATCACCATAGAATAAGGATATGTATCACGCTCATCACAATAAAAATAACAACACCCAACATGTAATTTAAATAATATAAATGAAGTGTTTTTCCAAATATACATCATACTAACATTAGCAATTATAAATCATACAAAAACGGTACTCCATAAAACTTAAGTTCCACCTTTCCTTTTTAGGATGTCCCAATATAAAGTTTTGATTATTCATTTACCTTTTTACCCTCACATAACATTATTGAATTGATGAGTGTTATCCACATTTCACTATTCACTTACCACATGTATTGAACCCATTGGGGTATTACATCTTCTAATAACTCAAGAGAAATTTTGGAAAGCCATCTTTGTATTCTATCCTATATAAAAACCCGTGAATTGAAACCCGAAACTTGAGATGAAAGGGGCTTCTTATTAGCTATTTCTTTTAATGTTACACCATATTTTCTATAATTCGTGGAGGTTAACCTCATAAATCATAATAGATCCATGTAATTATAGGTTCAATTAAAATATAAAAAAACATATAGATTCTAATAACTAAACATTATAAAATCCAATAAGATTATCGAATAACATAACTAAGATAAATTTCATTTACAAATTACAATCTATGTTCTAAGTGAAAGATAACTTGGAAGAAATTAAGTGAACTGCAACTCTCTTATCTCCTAAAAATATTTTCTCTAATTGTTGTTATATGATAACCTCAAGTTCTTTTAAAATATTTTGTGGGAGGAATAAATAAAAGACCTCTCTCCCATATCTCTATAACTAAAATGACACATATATAATCATTTGAGGCATTTTGATAATTTGAAGGAACAAAAAACATAAAAGGCTCATCTTTATCAAACAGCCTGCTAAGTGGAGGGGGGAAATGTTTTGTAACTAAAGTGATACACAAAACATAGATCACATTGTGAGTTTATGCCATTTTTGTGTTATGAAATAAAACTAAAAAAGAATATCTTTTTTAACTGTGTAAAAACAATTGATAAAAACCAAGATAAACAAAATGGTGAGCCTCCCAATTTGGCATCAGAGGTGCATTTAAAGTAAAAAAAAGTAAATAGATGACTTATGAGTAACAAAACAACGACTTTCCCAATTATTTAAACTAATACGTAGTAAATAAACTGAAATTTATACCCATGACTAATGACTCATGAGTGTCTTACGAAAGTTAAAATTACTCTACCTTTCCACAACGTAATAATATCCTCTACAAAGTATTTCACAAACAGCAATGGTAAATTTGCAGTGTTTCCTAATCAACCGGTGTCCGGTGACCTCGCCCTGCTAGGAGACCACCTATCATCATATTGATTTGATGATGATGACCTGCGTACATGGTGAAGTTCTTCCATGTGCATTGAGCTTTCAACAGATGAACGGCCATGACGAGGAAACCGTCGGCTACTACTGAGCCTACTTTGCTTTCCGTGTTTGAGGGAGTAGTGTTCTTCCCTATCTCTTTCTGTTCTACGCTTAAGGCTCTTGCCAGAAGCATTCTCTCTGCCCATGGAATTTTTGCGCTTGCCTAAATCACATTCATCTTTTGCTGACATCTCTAGCTGATGGTAAGTGGATTAATTAAGTATAGATAGATATCCATATGAACAAAATTTTCCCATTAAATTGTTTGCTTCTGATATTCTCAACCCTGATCCCGATAAGCCCCATCAATCCTCAAGATGTTAGAAAAAACCAACAATTAGTATATTTTAAGTTATTATAGATTCATGTTAAGCATAACAATCATTATTGCTTTTAATCCTAAACAGCACACTTTGTTAATTGTTGCGCAAACAACAGAATTAGAAATCCTAGTAGCTAAGGCAGCCTGCATAGCAGGGGCTTGTCCTACATTTACATTGATAAATTTCCATAGAATACCTCTTGAAATTGTGAGGGATCAACAACTACCCTATCAACAGATCTCTTAATAGCTATAGAACTAAGCTTTATTTGTGACAAATAAAGATGAGATTGTGCCATGAAAGGCATTGGTGTTCAAGCAACTCCAACAACTCCCATCCCCATGCAGGCTGCATCAGAGCGTTAATCTCTTATACATAGGCTTTAAGCACGACCAGCAAGCTAGAAGAACATTTTAGCCTTTGACTTTAACCTTATTGAAAGAAACTTTCAAAAGTTCACACGGTCATTAACCCCTTGGCATTGTTACCCACTTATTTATTGTGATATGCATAAATTCTCTTAGATACGAAAGCTATTAAAAGCAGGCATTCAAAAAATATTTTATCTTACTTATAATATGCAATCAACCTGCAAATCTATTACCCCCTATCTCAATATAATCATTGAAACATAATAAGAATTAAAGTTAAAGATTTGAAATTGAATCCTACATTAAAGGGGCTCATTTTACATATGAAATTAGGGAAATTGCCCTAAATAGGACTAAAAACATTTGTAAGTTCCAAAATAGAACTGTCTTGTTTTTATTCCCAAAATAGGACTAATTACTGCTATTTTGGCAGTACCAGACTTTAAACATGGCTGTATTTTTCAAACTAGGCTGTAATTGCTCCTATTTTGGGAATAAAA